AGACAAGAGCGAGAGAGAATTAGGTGGCAGAATCAATGGGTTCTAAGTGCCAGAGATTTGAATGAGTAAGATGTAAGTCTTACCCTCAATGAATTAATAATCTAGTAAGGAAAACATGTAAAACTACCAACCTTAGTGTGCTATGTTATATTCAAAGTGCTACATCCACAATAGAGTTTTCATCCTATGAGTCCTGGACTCTTGTGGGAAATACAGGAAATTTTTTTCTGGGAGAATTTTCAACAACTGGGAGAGTTTCAATCCCAATTACTCTTGTTGTGGATGATTAGAAAAGAAAAGAATGTAAGATTAGAAAAATACAAAGATGTGGTTGATAAAGCAGATGGCAGAAAAAGAGAAGACATTTTTGCAATGAAACTTGAAGAGAGATGAGGGAAGGGAAACCCAGGCCCCAAAACTGTAGTCTGGCAACTCCTGAGGGGGAGGAAGAAAGCCAGAGATGTGTGGAGCAAGCTGACAACATCTGCTTTGGCACGGAGTGGTGCTGGGCAACAGCACTAAGCTGCACAGTGTCATTCTGGGTATTGGGGAGTGTATTTGAGAAGTGCCTGCCAAGAATAGCAAGTTTCCCCAAATCTTCTTCCATCTCATGTGTCCAAATTATTCTACATTTCTGCAGTCTTTGCAGAACTGAGGTGACAGAGTTATACAAGTCTAAGTTATAAAGTGTAAGCCTGCAGAACCAGGCGCAGAAAGGGAAGATACATGCACATACTTACATATATATCATTTGCAGCAAAGCAAAATTAATTTGCCTGCTACATATGAGACTGTAGGGAAGAGGGATTCTGTCTAGCAAATAAGAGAGAGTATTACTAGGAATTAATAGTAGTAATAATAGTAATTAGTAATAACAATTTAAATTATTTAAAGGGGTTTTTGTATTTTCTCTTTCAAGTGTACTTTTCCTTTTAGTAAATATAAAAATATAAAGGATTTCATAGATTCAGTTCTGACCTGCTTTCCCTAAAATTTTATTTTCTTTCAGGTCTTTAATTTGAAAATTACAGATTCTATAGAACTCTATTCTAAGAGTTTCATATATACAAATATATATGGAAAACCAGAAGAGTAAGGAATTCATTGGGCCCAGAAAGGAGCATAGGAGAGGGATGCAAAGAGAAGTTAACATTTCAATCTTCAATCGGCCCTTTTGAATGAGAAAGATTTCACCAAGGAGGCAGTAGCAGAAAGGAATTCTAGGCAGAGGTAATGGCCTTGTGGAAGCATGAATATGCATAGAATGTTCAGGAATGGCAAGTAACAGTTCGAGGTGGCTAAGGCGTAGGTTGTCTGTAGAGTAAGAAGAAGGGGTAAGAATCAATGCTGGAAATATTTGTCAGGGCATTCCATGAAAGGCTCCAGGGAACTCAGTTGGACAACCTGACTAAATTTTTGCCAGAGGTTAGATTCAAAACATTAGGAATGATGAGTCCTGCTAAAATTGGAGTTGTTCTTATTCTTCTCAAAGATGGTAGTAATTGTTGAATTTTTGAGAGTTGGTGGAACAACCCTGAAGCTTTCCATTATTCCCGTGAAAATTAGTAGTTCTTGTGGTAAGGAAATGTTTTAGGAATTGTTGATAATAGATATGTCAACAACTTCCAATTGCATAATGCCCCTAGAAAGATCCAAATCTTTTTCATGTGTTTTCTTTCATGCTCCAGAAATAGTATTGGCAAATGTTCAGAGAAGGCAGAAATTTGCCAGAACATACTCTTTAAAACCCTAGCTCACCTCTTTATGGAAGCAATCTTAGACAAATTTCTTGCATGTCATTCAGATTATATTACTTGACTTTGGTGTCTATCTGCATCATGTTATGAATTATATGCATTTTTAGGAAAAAAAGAAAAGCTTTTGTCCCTTTCTATAACTTGCTCAAGTAATATAATTTGACCTGAGTCACAATTTTGATACTCACCTTGCTTTTAGTCAAAACTTTTACATCCAGATCTTTATTATCACTTCCACAAGGGATTAAGAAACATCACAACATATGAATTGAAATACTCTGTTGTTTTAAAAAACATAAATTCATGAATGACATTGAAGATAAAAAGTAGTGCTATTTATAGGCCTGAAGCTCATCCTCCTCCCACTTAAAATCAAATCCACACATCATTCCAGCTAGGACTTTAACACAGTTAAACAATACAAGTGATAGGATCTGAAAACCATGGAAAATGCCATTATTATTTTAATCAAATCAGATATAAAAACTTAAGCCTGGTCAGAGTTGGATGACAGATTTCACTAATGGAATATAGGGCCTTTGCTAACTGGTTATTTAGAGTTACCCCAAAATTGATGTTGATTATATTTCAAATTCCAAAGTTTGCTCATGTACCTAAATACTAATGCTTTCCCTCTTCCCTGACTACTAACTTCCTGAAGGAGAGAAAGTTAGTAATGGTCAAATTTTTCCAGAGCTTATTGGGAGGGCTTAGTAATGGAAAATAATTGAGGGGCTTTGGTTTACCTCAGTTGGCCAGCCTAGATCCCACAGTAAAAATCTAGAAACAACACTTCATGTTACCAAGGAGCAGGATTGAGTCAGTTTGATCGTGCAACTCCAGGATACACTGAGTTATGTGTCTTTCAGTTATAGTTATTACTGCCAATAGCATCTTGTTATGTGGTTCCAGAATAGATTCTATATAGGGTACCTGAAGGTCCTTCTCCTACCCTGCCAACCAAACAGCCAGTGCTATTTTTATATAGAGCCAGGCAGCCTATAATTTCCATGACTGTTATTTAGAATGAGTTGGCAAGTTCAAACCAGATTTTATGAACATCCCTGGCATTGTCAGTAAAGACTGGAAATTGAGCAAAGTTACTTTTTCTCAAATGCATGAAGGGTTGTTTTTTTTTTAAGTATCTGTATAATATTTTTATAAGATTATTAAAGGATATATTAGATTCACTTTTTTGGGCTAAGTATCAACCAAGGATCATTTTTATTAAACAATTCTTCACCTTTAATTAGATTTCAAGATGTGAAACTGTTTCTGTTTTCTTCAAAGAGCTAATTTTAGATGTATGTTGAGTTTCTTTTTATATGCTTTAATAAAGGATGCCTATTCCTCAAGACACCTATTCTATTGACCAAAGTCAAGGTGTAGATGTTTTCATTCTGATTATTTATTTTCACTTCAGAGCACCAAGGCTATGCAAGACCATCGAACCTACCACTGACACTTCCCTCTACTTACTTCCTCAACCATCACAGATTCCCCAAGCTGTAAGGAGTTTCACAAATGAAAAAACTAATATTCAGGGGAATTAGCTGATTTTTCCCTTCCCAAGTTTGCATAGCTGGTAAATAAAAGAACTAGAACTAAAACCCAGGTCTCTTGCATTCTATTACATTATATCTTATGTGCTAGAGGGAAATTAAGTGTATCTCATACTTCCTTTATGTTTCTTCTTCTATATTCAGAGACTTAATTCCCCCGTGGTAAACTGCTGAAAGCAAGTGAAAAATACAGTTTATTTCCTAAATTAGGAGTGAGAGATCTCAGTCTATGAGTTGTTTTTCAGACCTGCCCTGTTGATACAGAAATGTATTTTTATTACATTTGAAAGAGAGAACACAATAATAGTAAATCCTCTAATTCAGGCCCCTCTCCATACACACATACTCTTTTTTGGTTTTCAAAAGATGGAAGTAAGTGAGTCACCAATTAGGATAATTGTCCAGGTATTTAAAATGTATTTTAGATGATAAATATAAAAGCACATGTGTCCTTTTGACAGATTAATATAACTTAGAAGAATTTCAATATAAATTTCTTTTTAATTTCTTTCCTCTTGTGTTAAACATTAGCATTCCAAAGGGCCAAAATGCATATTCCATCAGAATGTTTGGTTCTATTCTTTTATGCAAAAAACATCTTAGCTGTACATGGTCTTATTAAGCATATGGAAATATTATGTCAGACAAGCACTTTACTGAAAATAAAATGATTTCTAAATATAAATATGTACTCTTTTAATGATCATCAAACTCTTTCCAAACATACATTTCAATTTGTAGCCATATGTGTATTATTTTTAGAGAGTTTTTAACTCTGAATCATTTTTTGCCTTAACTTATCATTGAATAAGACATTTCTAATGGCTGAAATGACATCAATAGTTCCTTTTTCAAAGATTCAAAGAAAAAATAGTATGAGTAAAAAGTGAAGGTTTTTTTTTTAAAAATTGCTATTTTGCATCACCATATTTGTTTTGGCAAATCATCACCTTATTTAAAAATTGTTTCAAATAAAAAGAAATCTAAACACAGAATGATTCCATTAGAAGTCAGGATAGTAGCTCCCTTGGTGGGGGTAGCAACTAAAAGCAATCCCATGGGTACTTTTGGGTGCCGATGATACTCTACTTCTGTAGGTACATTTTACTTGAACACTTGTGTTCAGAGCTAAGTGACACAGTTATGTGAACATTTCTGTATGTATATTATATTTCAATGCAAAGTGAAAAATAATTAAGATGCCAAAATAAAGTCAAAACTTGCCCTCTACAACTTACAAACATAGAACTAGTAGTGTCATATGCTATTTATTATTGGATTCCAAATGTAAAAGAATAGACTGAAAAATTTGACAGATTGCTCCAATGTTTTTTAAAGTTTTAAAAAATGTTTCTTACACTCTACCAGGAATTTAGATGTTAAAATTACTAAATCTTTCACCAATTCAAGGGAAAAATATATAAACTTTAATTATATTTGTCATTAGGGTAAAAATAGGACCTTACCTTATCTTTTGAGTTTCTGAAATGTGGAATCTTTTTTGTCCTAAAGTATATTCTAAACGTAATTATATAGACTGGTCTTTTAATAAAATGAAGTATAATTCACTTCTAAGTAAAGCATTCTTCGTATTCGTGTGGTTGACAATAGATGACTCGTTATTTTTTCCTATGACTTGGAAACAAGAGAAAATATTTACTTTGCAAATCATTCTTGACAGGTTGCCTCTGCCAGAGCAGACATTCATGGGCTACTGGACAATTGGTCAGGCAAGAAGTGGAATGCAAAAACTCTTGTGTCCGGCAGAAACTCATCATGTAGACATAAAGGTTGATATCTTTGTTCTTTCCTCTCAAGAGATTGAATCTTATGAATTTTTCTGTATCTTCTTCCCTGGAGAAAATCCATACAATCTCAGAAATGATTTGTTCTGATGTTATTTTAGCTCCTGCTCTAACTTTCAAATCAGCCTGGCCTCTGAATAGACAATGCCTAATGGCCAGATAGAATTTTTAAGAGTTAATCTGTATTTCAGGTGAGTCAGGTATGACATATTTTCCTAGGACGGTTAGTCTGTGATATGTGTCTTTAGTTTGTGTTTGCTAACGGGATTAAACTTTGTGCTTTTGCAATTTTGGCCTCTTTCCAGCCACGTGTTGTTGATAGGCGCTGTCTTTGTGCGAAAAGGTAAAGGAAAGGAGTATCCGTCACTAGTTGCAATAGAAATCACTCTAGGTATTTCGAGCAGAGAGGGAATTACTGTGGGAAGGTAGGTGTTTAGAAAAGCATTAGAAAGGGCAGGAGGAACAGAAGTCGGGGGTAACACTGGACTCATAGTTTCACGATCAGCTTTTCTGCTTCTGCCCTCCCTCCTGGTGGGGGCTGCACAGTAAAGCAGGGTCAGCAAACTTTTTCTCTAATGGACCAAGCAGTAAATACTTGAGTTTTTTTTATCATACAGATGCTTTCACAGCTACTCAACTCTGCCATCATAGCGCAAAAGCAGCCTTGGTAATACATAACCAAAGGGCTGTGGTTGTGTTTCTCTAAAACGTTATTTACAAAAACAGGCAGAGGGTAAGACATGGCTTGCAGGCCGTAGTTTGTCAACCCCTGCAATAGAGCATAGAATCTGATTGCTCTTATTTGTCAGCACTTCTTGGTCTGCTGTCACTGCAGGAAGGTGGCCACTACCTCTCTTCTGCCTTCCAAATCTCATGCAAGTGCATTTAATTGGCAGAAGTTAAATCGCTTCCAGAGCTCTTTCTCAAGGGAGTATGGGAAATGCAGTTTTTAGTTTTCTAGCCCCCTGAGATACAGACTAGATAGAAAGGGGGAAGGGGCATGTGTACCAATATCTAGCTGAAACATTTTGATTAATTAGGGACTGTAGGGCATGCAGATCATTGAAATTTTGGTTACAATATAGCATTCTTTCAGGAAGTCATATCTAAGTATCCAGAACTAATATCCATGACATTATTAAATTAGCTCCTCTGCTTATGTTTATATTGAATAATTATTGCTACGTGTGAAATACTCCACGTTTCTTAAGTAACACTATTGGTTATGAGTAAGTCTGAGTTTTTTATTTTTTTAATTTCAAATGTCACTTTTTTTTACATTTAATTTAAAAGAGTCAGGTTCAGCGATTACATTTATATATAATGATATAAGAATACTTCTTCACAATAGAAATATATCAGGCTCTGGCTCATTCATTTACAAATGATTCTCCTGGTTTGGACAGCTCTGGGTCCATATACTTGGAGTTCAAAACTGGCTCTTGGCTTAGGAAGGAATGAAGTAATGAGAAATCCTATGGGATTTTACATCTGGTAAATTTTGTAAGTAAAAAAGAAAAAGTGAGAAATTAAATAAGATAGCACATGTGAAAGCACTTATAAATGCAAGTATAAGGTATTATTATTGTCATAAGTACTGTGCCAGTCAAAAAATTGAAGCTATTGAATACATGAATTTAAATTCTATATTTTGGAAGGACATGAGCTTTTCTACATTTTGATGACTACCCAAATATCTTAACTGAGATAACTACTTTATTATAGGGTCCAGTACTTATAAACATACAGGAATATCCAATAGAAAGACGTGAAGAAAGATCTCTAAACTTTACTGAAGAATGTGCTTCCTGGAGGTTACCATTGGATGAAATTAATTTAATCTGTGACATTGCTACATCACATGGTATGCCAGTTTATTCTTTTGATCTTTCCTTCCTGCATAGTTTTTTTTCTTTTTGAAAAGGAGATTAAAATAATCTCTAGACGTCAAAAAGTCTATGATAGACTCAGTAACTATCTTTCTTGGATTGTATAGCAATTATATATAATTTAAAAATAATTTCCTCTAACAACCTAACACAATGCTATTATGGAATCCACATAAGCACTGCTGAGTTTGTATGCATATGTCTGTTTCTCATTACAATTGTAGCATAAAGTTAAACACACCCAGGCATGTGCTAAAAATAGAAGGGCAAAAGAAAAAAGAGGAACATTGAATTTTTTTTGGCTGAGATTCCATTTTGATGATTACATGAACCATAAAAGTAGGGCTGGAGTGATTTGCAATCATTAAACTTTTCATTATAAAGAATGGCAAATAAAGCATGTGAATTTTTGGCATCTACATTTCTGGACTGTTGCCATTACCTACTGATTCATGCAGTGGGCCTTGGGTACATTTTGGCAGAAGTTCCTCTATTAATGTAGGTACTAAGGTGATATAAACAGAAGTGGTGGCTGGGGGAGGGGAGACAGTCTCTAACTTGACTAAAATGGGAATTGTTAAGGCAAATATCAGTATCTTGTTTGTGCCTATTTCTATGGAAATTATTTATTCCCCAAATCAGCTATTTTAAATAAAAATGTGTGCTTTTAAGAATGTACAGGGTTTGGTTTGTTTGGAAAAGATTGGTAAAGACACATATAGATTATGTATATAATCCATATGTGGATTATAGCCAAAGACTGAACTGTACTTAATGCCTATAATAAGAGAGAACAATTAATAAGTTATTAAGTAATACATTTCAGCTAACACTTTTACTATATTCTCAGTCCCCTTCAGTATGCAAAAAAGTACTCAATAAATGTTGACTAGAGCTTATTTGTGTTGATAAATGGAAACATTTGGAAAGATCCATAAATTATAAATTCTGTAACTTTATCTAATATTTGGAACTGTAACACACAGAGTTTGCATTGTTTTCTAAATAATATGTGTCTTTTTCAGCCCTTCAGTTGGCTTGTGTTTCTTATCAATGTTAGCTTGTTTATTTAAATTTACTATATTAGTGTGTGTATATATATAATATACATATTTATAATATTGTATGTATATATAATATTATAGACATGGTATACACTCACACATACACACACTTATACAAATGTTTCAGATTTTCCAGGATAGTCCCATATATAAATGTTGTATCTCATTGTCATAACTTGTGTCTTAATTTGGGGATCAGAAAATATGACCACTGTAAAATAGACACCTGGGTGATGGGTGATGTTGAAAGCATTTATTATACAAAAGCAGCTTAATCCCTTACCTCAAAGGTGCCCACATAAAAGATTATGAGGAACTTAGTCCAGAGCCTAACTAGTCAAAAGGAGTCCCTGAAACCAGCAGCATTGGCATCTCTTAGGAGTTTATTGGAAAGACAGAATCTGAAACCCCACCCTAGGCCCCCTAAATCAGAATCTACATTTTTATTAGGTCACCAGGTGACTCATAGACACTTAAAATTTGAAGAAGCACTGACATTCAGAAAATGGACTTTAGCAGGTACCCAGATTGAAAAGAAATTTTTGTAATAAGAAATACTCAAATGTGAACAAGAATTTGGAAAATAAGATCCATAGAGCTAAAATTGTAAAAAAATGGGATTACTTAACTGTCTGGAAAATGCCAGATTAGCAAACAGATGGTGTTGACCAACTGTTGTCCATCTGAACCAACAAGAGAACAGATCTTCACTGGAGCACAAAGCACTTTGCTGTCATACAAGAAACAATTTCCTGATATTGAGGATTGTTAAATGTTTAATAGTGTTAGCTCAAGATATAGAGGCATTCTTTTGGGAAAAATAGATAATTAATTTTCCTAAGTAGATAGGTGTGGCCTTATCTACATTTTTAGGGTAAGAACTAAGTTGTTTCTCATGGCCAATCCATCTACAAATCATCTGCTGAGTTGCAACTGTGTGCTCAACCTCGTGATTCAGTTTTCACAAGGCCTCTTGACCTACTTGTCTCAGAAAATTGGTTGCAAACCACAAAATGAACACCTTTTTGTCATTTCAGAAAATGAGGAAAATACTCTCTATGTAGTTGCATGCAATCCTGTTTCCTTATACTTTATGAATATGACTGGGAAAAGTGGCTACTTTGTGGACTTTTTTAACATCTTCCCAAGAACAGCCAGTGGAGTTTGGCACCCATTTGTGACAGTGGCACCGCTGGGAAGTCCCCTCAAGGGTCAAGTGATTCTCCATGAGCAGCAGGTAATGCACATCAGGCTACTCACACACTACAATTATGTGAAGAGCATCTAACGTGAAGGAAAAGGCAAGAGTGATTATAGCGACCTATGACTGAAAGTACGCGCTTTCATAAAGGTCCAGGAGAGGGCTAGAGGGACGGGTCAGGAGTTCTATTTTGTCTGTACCACAAAGGCTAACATCTTCCTCCCTGCACAGGTGTCAACATGACCTATAAGTTTGGAAACAGGTAAGTCAGGGGTCTTTAACCTCAATGCTATTGACATTTGGGTCCAGATGATTCTTTATTGTGAAGCTTGCACTCTCTTTGAGAAGATATACAATAAACAAGTAAGCCAACAAAATAAACACACCAATTGTAGGTAGTGATAAGTGTTATATATAGAAACAGGGTAATGTCTGAGGGAGTGGTGGGGATGGGTAGCAGGAGGTAGGAAGGTGAATAGTAGTAAAATGAGTACTGAGATATCTCATCGTAGGAGATGACATTTTATCTGAGACCTGAATGACATTTTTTACATAGAGATAACCGCACAGATCCACTAAATAAAATACACAGAGATCCGTTAGACCTAATGGTGCTCAATTCCACCCATCACTAAGATTGCACTAATGGAAAATCCAGATGCCCAGAGTCAGGCTAAAAATAATTCCAAAGAGAAGATGCACATCAAAAGAATAGGTTGCATTTCAATTAGTTAGAATTCTAAAGCTTTGAATTAATCTGTACTATACCAATAGAAAAGAGTCTAATGTATTTACCAGGTATTTACCAAGTACTATACTAAGCATATTATTCATTCAACAAATATATATCATGTGCCTACTGTTGGGAATACCACATTGAACAAAAACCCCAAAATCCTTGTCTTCAGAAGCTTATATTCTAGTGCAGGAAGGTAGACAATAAGCAAAATTAATAATTAAAGTATAACTTAGGGTAGAAGATGAGAAGCAAGAGAGAGTAAGATTGCAATTTAAAATAAAGTAGGCAGGGATTGCCTAACTGGTTGAGGGTGATAGTTAAACAAAGACTTGATGGAAGTGAGGAGGAGAAGAGATATCTGGAAGAAAAGAGTTCTAGGCAAAGGGAATAGTAAGTTCAAAGCCCTAGAGTCTGGAACATGCCTCTTCATTGTTAAAGAATTGTGGTGGGGAATACTGAATGAGGGGGGTAGTAAGAGGTAAAGAGGATACTCAGTGGCTTGGGATGGGGATGAGGTGGAGGGGCCAGTGGGAAACAGATTGTATAGAGCAGGGGTCCTTGAACTTTTTAAACAGGGGGGCCAGTTCACTATTCCTCAGACCATTGGAGGGCCATTGGTGAGTGCGGCGCACATTCCACACATGCGCACTGTGGGCCCCGGAAGAGTCGGCTGCTAAGCAGGACAGGCAGCAGCAGCAAAAACACCCAGCGAGCTGGATAAATGTCCTCAGCGGGCCGCATGTGGCCTGCAGCCCATAGTTTGAGGACGCCTGGTATAGAATCATGCAGGCCATTGAAGTTTGTGACCCTTAACTATGAATGAAAGGAGAAGGCATTAGAGGGTTTTGAGCATGGGACTAGCATGATCAGACTTATGTTTTTAAAGGATTTCTCTGGCTGCTCTGTAGTGAAGAGTCTATAACTACTAAGGCAAGAATGAGGGAGGCTAGTTAAGAGATTTTTGCAATGACTGAGGCAAGAGATAATGGTGATTTGGAGGAGGGTGGAGCTCATAAGTAATGACAGATTCTGGATGCATTTTGAAGGTAGAACCAACAAGATTTCCTAACAGTTCAAATGTATGGGTTGAAAGAGAGTAGAGTTAAGGGTAACTTTAAGATTTGGGGCCTGAACAACTTTGATGGAGTTGCCATCAACTGAGATGGGAAAGGATTCCATTTGGGAGGGAGTATCAGATGATGTTTGATTAAATTTGAGATGTCTATTAAACATCCAAGTAGATGTTAAGACTGGAGGTCAATGGAGAGGCCAGAACAGGAAATACAAATTTGGGAGTCATTGGCATATAAGTGTTGCTTAAAGCCAAGAGACTGAAAGACGTCTCCAAGGGAGTGAAGGTGGGTAGAGAAATGAAGTCCAAGCACTAAGCATTGGGGCAGTAGAATATCAATAAATTAGGAAAATGAGGAGGAATCAATGACAGGGATTGAGAATGAGTGGCCAGTGGAGTAGATGGATAAATTGAGGAGTGTGGTATTCTGGAAGGCAAGAGATGAATATCTCCAAGGGAAAGGATCCACTGTTAAATGCTGACAATGTGTCAAGTGAGAGATTACGTACATTATCTCATATTATTCTTCTAACTGCCCAGTGAGATAGCTGATATCCATATTTACGTATAAGGAAACTGTTGCTCAGAGAGTTCAAGTAGCTTGTCCAGCAGATACACAGCAGAACTGTGATTCAAACGAAATTGGATTGACCCTACCAGACAGAATTAATCTTTATCTACTGTCTCACTCACTACAGATCTTGGGGAAAAGATTAATTTGAAAAATTTAAAAGTATTCATAATAGGGAATATTTTTTAAATACTAGAAGAAATATTCTTATAAGAATTTAAAGAGAAAACTGTTACCAAGAAAGAATACTTTTAGACTTTAATCTAATCAAAAAGGAAATATTACATAAATAACATGTCAGTAATTCCCTGAGGAAGTGTCAACTTTTACTTTAGTCATTGCCTATATAATTTTCATGAATACTGAGTCAATAAGGGTTTTTCAGGTTTTGGTTTTGCATTTTTTAACTTTTACTTTCTCCTAGAAGCAGAATTTATAAACATTTAGATATTGCTTATAAAAATTTGTGTCTGGAAAATTGGAATGAAGGTTTTACTTTCTGGATTTTCAACAAAATATCAATGCCATTGAGTTAAATTCTATAGCCAGTACAATCTGTCATAAAAAGCAAATGATACTTTGGTGATTTATAATTCAGTAACTGAATCAAATTTGAATGAGAATCTAAATTTGGAGTATTTATTCAGTGTTGCCAAATTTTCAGCTGTCAAATTAGCTGTCATATTTACATATACAAATTCTTTAAAAGTACCAGATTTTTAGATTCTCAGCAAGTGTTTTATTTTCTCAATAGATCCAATTATTTGGCAACATTGCTGATTAATACTGTGTTCGATTACAATGACTTTCATCAACGAAAATGTGTTTTTCATTGTAAAACTGTGCTTGACCTCCATGGCCAGCTCCTACTCTCCTGGTGTTCTTATATGCTACCTTACTTATTCCTTTGGCCACAGTCTCAACAGTTTTCCAGAAAGCTGCTTCAGCAACCTGGGAAGATAAGCACAGCTTATCTGGATACTTCTATTCTACCTGTCTCCTGAATTACCTTCTCTTTTCCCAGAGAGGATATCTTAGCTATCTATTTTATAATTTGGTTCTGTTAGGATATCAGATCTGTTGAATTCCATATGAACAACACAAAGCTGTGAAATTTAACAACTGATAAATAATTCTAGTGGAATAAAAAAGAGTAGACTGCCATCAATTCCTTCTTCCTCATTCTGTCCTAACTGAAAATGAATCTAAGCTATTAGAGAAATACTTCCGTGGATTCACCTATTACATGTCTTTTTAAAATAAAGCTTTGCTACAGATGCATTTCCCCAGTTAGTTTAAGAACTTGTTCAAAAATTCCTTGCTAAAATAAAATCTTAAGTGAGGAAAGGGAAACTTGGCCATGCCTAAAAATAAAGACCCTCCCCTTCCCCCACCCCCCTCCCATGAGATTATTTATTACATCTGTACAAAGTTTAGAATTTCAGACTTTGGGACATTGAGGTCATCCAGAGGTTACTTTTCTCCCAGTCAAATACAAACATAATAAAATTGCTCACTCGCTTCTCCTCCCTGCCCCCCTTAAAGGAGTGCCAAAACCACAGTTACATGTACTCATGTGTGACGCAAAATTCTATTTTTAAACTCAGACAGAATCTATCATTAGTCATTTACAGAAGGAAACCATTAACATTAAAAGGATGGAGCAACAGAACCTCCTTCATGTTGCCAATTGCTTATAAACTAATTCTAAATACAGCCATGGCTGGAAATATATACATGTTTTTTGTCACTTAGTAAGATACAGTTTTCAGTTCACTTATGCCAAGTTATGAGCGTATCAGTATTAGACCCTAAAAAGGAAGAAAATGGAAAACTATACTAACTTATTTTTCTGCTTAACCATATCTGGTTAACCATATCTGTTTAATCAACTGCTTATTCTTTTGTCTAATCATTTTTGGGGATAAAACATTTATTTTTAGAACTTTCTTTTGCTTAGAAAAGTTAATATTATCCCAGATTGCTTAGGTGCTAAGAATTCATATTAATGTTGTACATATTTATCAGATAAGAGAGACTTTCTACATTAAAAAGTATTTACTCATAAAAGATTTAATCTAGAATGGAGACTTTGTAAATTTTTAACTTACATGTTGTCTGAAGGAAAACTCTAAGATATCACTACCATTTTCAAAACATTCAAGTGCTAGTGAATAATACTTCTTATATGTTAATTTCTAAATGTGTATTCTTAACACACATTCTTAATGGAGAATTGCATATTATACAGAATGATACATTCAAAGGGTGATGTTTGTGGAAAAATTAAAGCTTTGTCAACATGCTTAGTAAAATTTTTTAATATAGCCAAGATTCAGAATGTATGGTGTGAAGAAAGCTATGTTGTGCAAATACTATTTTAATTCTTGAGCACTTGAACAAAATTAGCTTGTAAAATAAATTTGAAACCACATTGAGGTGCTATGTTTGCAGATGAATCATTAATCTTTTTAAATTTCTTTTTCTTTCTCTAACTGGATTACATAATAGAGAGTAAGGGCCATGATTAATTCATTGTTGTATTCTCCTTTGGCTTTCAATATAAGCTGCTCAATAAATATCATGAATAAATGAACAATTCATATTTGATTGTTTTCTATATTTTTTAAGGTATATATTACTTCTTTGTCTGC